TTTTACCAACTTTTTTTTCCATTATTAGTCATTATTTGTCATCGGCAATAATTTCCCAACTTTATGCGTATGGGTTAAAAATCACCCTGTATAATAGTTAAATTTATATTTTATTTAATCTTGCGAAAATTCTTTGTAGTACATTTAAAAAGACTAGACAAAAAACCGTAGACAAAAAAATGTAATGTATAGCCTGATATTTAATTACAATAACCATTGTATGTTAAACCAAATTGAAATTTAATCCGAAAAGTTATACAGGGTGAGACAAAATTAATATGGAACATTAGTCACTTTTAAAAGCAAGTTACTCCTTTATTTTAAGTAGAACACCCGGTATATTTTTCCGGTGTTCAATAAAGAATTTATTCAAAATATTATTAAGGTTTCCTACCCCTCAGACAAAGATATTGTAATTTTTCCTAGATATTGTAATTTTTATGATTTTGCGTCAGTAAATCTTTATTATTTAAACAATCTAGGGTGGTGGCTATGGCTGTGTGATATACCTTTTGTTAATTTAACAAGAATTAAAGATTGTAGAGTAAAATACTCAAAAGTAATAAAAACATACACGTTTAAAACATATTTTAATTATTACAGAATTAAAACTAGATATAAACCTATAATTATATGACAAAAATTAGCTAGATGAAATCAAATGCTCAAAATGCTTCATTTCCTGTTAACTGCATAAAATAATTGTCTTTTCAAAAGGATCTTTTCATTTTAAAATGCATATGTGGAGTTCTACCTCGAAAAACAGCTACAATAATTTCTCTCTTGTTGTCGACAATAGCTGGTCGAGTTTTGTAAACAACTTGTCTTTAACATATCCCCATAAAAAAAAGCAGACTAGATAAAATCAGGAGCATTTAAGTATTCTATTAATTGGTGAATAGTGAATGCACACTGCATTCATCAACTAATAGAATCATCAATTCTCTCTGATGTAGGATAAGTTTGCATTTTCGGCAAATTTCTGAGATTTTTGTTTTGTTTTAACTGACACAAAATTTTAACTAATTGTTAAAGTTGGACTAATTAGACAGCTATGTTGAAGTAACGTCAGACATATCACAGCCACCTCTAGATTTTATCAAATAATAAAGATCTACTCAGATCAAATCATGTAAATAAAAATATCTAGGAAAATATTTGTTTGAGGGGTAGGCAACCTTAATAGTATTTTGAAGAGATATGAATTCTCCATTGAATATCGGAATAATATACTGAGTGTCACCCTGTACAGCTCGACATTTCGTGGATTTTGAATTGGATTTTATTAACTTCAAAATATATTTCGTTAATATATTTTTTATTAGAAACAATTTACCATTTAAAATTCTTTGCGTCTAAAATAATATGCAATATTCAACTTTTTTTATAGAAAATGTGAGTTGTGTTTATAAAAACAAAAGTTGTTCTTAAACTGTGTTTTGCAAACAAGTTTCAAGCAATCAAATAACGGTGTATAAAATTATTTAGAAAAGAAAATATTTAATAATCAAATTTTCTAAGTGTTTTATTTTTGCTTGTATCTAAATTATAAAAAATCTCATCATTTATTATGATTAATAACGTTAAATTTTAACAAGTCTAAAAAACGTCTGGTTAATTAAAACAGATAATTATAGAGTAAACTCTATTAACCTTAGATTTTTTTCTTTGCTGTTTAAATATTTATCTTTTAATGACTTTGAAACTACATAATATTAGGTATGTGAGATAATGTTGGGAAATAAAAAATAATTTCTTACACATATTCCAATTCAAAAGTAGATGTTTGCATTATTCAAGAGGAAATATAACAAACTCATTATATCTTTATTTAGTTTGTATAGTAAAACTGTTTTGGGCAAGTTTAATGATCTCTAAAAAAGTTCAAGAACGCTTAAACGCAACAGCAACTACTGTTCATGAATTATTAATTTAGCTGTTATATAATTTCGTTTCCTAGTCATTGTTTTACTTATGAATTATACAAAATTTGATTATTTTATTGGTCCAGAAAAAAATAAATAGACAATATAATTTTTGTAAATGTCAGAAATTTTATTTTTTTCGTTATAAATCCACTTTCAACCAGATCTTTTTTGAAGATAATTTTTGAATTTAGTCAAAGTGAAAAAGAATAGTTTTCATAGATTATTTTCATTTTATACAGGCTGTTTCAAAAAACATTTGCCATATCTAGTGAAGAGATTCTTCACGCAAAAATCAGATTAATTTTTTATAGCAACATAGGCCCAATTCTACTTTTTTACATAGCTACTGGTGGTTAAAGTCATATATGTTTTTTATTAATTATAATTTTCTTCCAAGTTCTTTTAGTGATTCGTAATAAAATTTTAACGGTAAAAGTAAGTGCTGCATAATTTAATATTTAACGCTAAATTTTAATGCTACATATTTTAATATTTCAATGATAACCCATATGCACGTCCCTGGTGAATCTGACACTTTTTAACATTAAAATAACTATAGTAACTTTTACTTTAAAAATTTTATTCGAATCGCCAAAACACTTGGAAGAGAATTATAATAAATCGAAAAGAAATAAGAAGTTAACCCCCTGTAACTACGAAACAACGCAGAATCGGACAAAATATAAAAATAAATCTTATTTTTATCTCCTCACGAAATCTGGCACATCTTGTTGAAACGCACTGTATATTATGAAAAACTTTTATTTTTATTGAATCATATTAATAATACATACATTATACATATTGTATAACCCATTGCAACTCCTGAAACACTAATTCACCACATAGCCTAAGAGCTGACGACATATTTAGAGAACATATTTTAGGCAAGTTAGAATAACTAAAAATGTATAGTTTATTAACTTGTGAACCCAGAATCCTAAGTCTGGCTGGGGGGTTGTGGGTATTTCGCTACTGTGCAACCCATAACATTTGCAAAAAAATAAATCCAAAAAACATTCTTTAGCCAACTTGAATCCCGTCGGGTCTTAATAAACTATCTTTCTCGCGCTTATAGATACTCATAAGACTTTTTTGTCGCGCTCATATAAAATCTTTATTAGCGTCTGGCAAGTATTAAATCCCATTGAATTCGTCTGGCAATTAACACATATTTTTTAATATCATCTAATAAACACGCTGTAAAAATTTTAGAATGCCTAAAGTATGTTTTCCAGGTATAATAATTAAACATATTTGGAATGGTCTTGTTACACTTTAAACCCGAAAAAAAAGTCTGGCACACTTATTTCTAGGTTAAATAGATACTAAAATTTAAGAATAAACAAATTTCAAGTTGCCTAAAGAATGTTTTTTGGATTTATTTTTTTGCAAATGTGATGGGTTGCGCAGTAGCGAAATACCCCCAGCCCCCCAGCCAGACTTAGGATTCTGGGTTCACACGTTATTAAACTTTATTTTTTTTTGTTATTCTAACTTGCCTAAAATATGTTCTTTAAATATGTCGCCAGCTCTCCGGCTAACAATATATCAAAACACTTTACTTTTAACACTGGTTCGGTTGTAATACACAAGGTTGCACCAAACTCTATTCTATAGAAACAAGTTATTCTATTCTTTACCAGTATCTTGTACTCTAATGCAAAGCTTGCAATGCTTCTATATGTAATAAATTGTATATACAGTATAGGTTTGGTGCATTTCAGTTTATTTCAACAAATTCCGACCGCAGCGCTTCAACGACAAAAATCGGAAATTATCAGTACTTATTTCACGCCGCCCTCATGTTTATCGCATTAAAGTAATATTGAAATCGTGGTTTTGTAATCGTGGAATCATTTAAGTATTTTAGTTTCTTGCTAATGCAGTTATTGAGACTATAAAACACCCAGGTATGAGGTTTGTGTGATGTAACGCTGTTTCGGGTAGTCTAAAATTAAGTGAAAAAGAATTCGAACTAGGTGTCGCCGTCGTGTTGTGTTGTGACAGTTTCAAATGTTAATAAAATTGCCCAAAAATGTTAAAGCGTAAAGGAGGGCGTAATTAGGGCGTTGTTGGGTGCAATAACATTCAATAACTCAACTTTTCCGGATATTTAACTCTCCCGAAGTTTCTCACACGATTTGGTCAAAAGCAAAAATGGATTGAAGCAGTTAGCAGAAGCAATTTTTAGTTAAAAAACATATCTTCATAATATGGCCACATAGGCAGTAGATTAAATTTACAAGAAAGAAAACCCAGAAAAAATCCAGCCATACATATATAATTTTTTTTAATTTTCAAAGTGAAATATCCCGATTATTTTGGACTTGGAAAACGCTAATGAGGAAATATGTTTTTTTTATCAAGATCTACTAGTCCTAAAAACATTTACAGTTATTTAAGACTCACCCTGAATATGTGTATATTATTACCATGTAAAATATAACACCATAAAACAAATTCGGTAGAGGCTTTATAGGAATTATTTTTATGTCATAATTAAGGCACGGTAAAAATTAATTTAAAGTATATTTTGAATTTTATATTTCGTTTTGGAAGAAAATATACATTTCTCAATCAAGCAGCAAGTTTTGCATTTTTCCTCAATATTTTATTATATTTGAACCTGGACCAGTAATTATGTTCATAGTAAATACCTATACATATTGGCGACAATGATACGGTGTGGTCTATTCTGTCCGTAAGTAAGAGGTAAATTTATATTGAATTTTCCCGTTTTGCGAACGCCAGACTGTCCATGTCCATTATAAGGATGGTGCGTTATTTAGAGGTGTAAATATTAAGAAAATTGTATTGTATAATTTCGTGAAAATAAAATCTTCCACGACACGACTGCCTACTACCACTGAATTCAGTTTCATCTCTGATTAACATTAACTTTCATTTAATTTACCAATTATTTAAGTTTATATCCTCATTATTAATGGAACATATAATTAGTCTTCTTTTCTTCTTAAATCTAGATTATCTTATGGCATACATACTTATTCTATTTATCATCAGGAATTTTAATTTTTTATTATTAATATAATTTTCTTTTATTTCTAGTGATTTCTTTGATTCGGCTAGTACCATACTAAAAAACAAGGAAACCAAATCCAAGAAAGATGGCCAGTATAACTTTTTGGAAGATATTATTAGCAAGGTAATACAAGATAACCTAATTACTAACATGCTTGTGAAAGGAAATAAATAGATTATGTTATTATAGACTACATTGTTCTACTTAACTCGAACATAAATAATTACTCTAAAGACACTTTTAAAACTCGTAAATTTTCACTTTTGCTGGTAGATTTAAAAGAAAAAAAAACACCACTTCTTTTTAGAACTACATGTAACATAGCAGCTTTCTTCTCAGTTTAATTTGTTTTCTGTTTAACCTAGATTGACATTCTGGTCTTATATGATAGCAAGTAATTTCACTGCATGTTAATATACGATTATTGTTAGTAAGTAATAAAAAATAGGAAATGCATAAAATCGATGTGCATGGTATTTAATTTAAGAGAAAGTTATTAAATTACATAGTAAACTACATCAAATTAAAAATAAATCATCTTTTTTAAAAAAATTCAAATTACCTAATTTATGTTATTTTTTAAAACTTATTTTTATTTTCTTTCAAAAAAATATTTTTATTTTATTGTAGTCCAGTCAAATTTGGTACCCCATATTAAAAACTACGAAAAATCTTTATTTATTAATATTTTATTTTTTTAGTTTCACCTTTATCATCCACCTTCCAAATTAATATTGTTAATTTTAAATTATATTTTTTGTAAATTTTACGAATATTTTAACCATTTCCTGTATATTAACTTATATATTATTAAGTTATTTTTGATACTAATAGTTAAACTTCTAGTTACGTAATCGAGGGCGCGATTTTTAAATTCATTGTTGCCAACCATGGACATATTCGACGCCGGGCTGACTAACTAAAATTTAAATATCATGCTGGGGATTCAGGTGGTATTCATTTATTTATTTATTACTTGACAGTGTCATTCGTTTTGACACTTTAGTTTTGTATTACTTGTTTTTGGTTTAAATAAATAGTGTTGTGATACTTCGTTCAGTAACAGTTTAGCAGTCGTACGAGAAGGTTGTGTTACCGATCGTGCGTTTTGTCTGCCGGTTATTGAACGTTTTGTTTTGTTTTGATTTGACTTGTTTTTGTTCCTGACCCGAAATCAACTCAAAGTTCACTGTTCGTTTAAACTTGACTTTGTTTACGTGTGTTAGTTTTTTGCAACATTAATTGATAATTTTTTCGCCGTACTTGTTACCGCTGTGCGTGAGTTTTAAGCTTGTTTATACTTCCGAATTTTATTCAGCTGTCATCGACTTTTATTAATATTATTAATCATTTACATTATTATGGCTGAATTTAAGTGCGACTCTTGTCAAAAATCCAAAAGGACAGTTATAAGGTTCGCTGTAGTGGAGAGTGTCGAAGAAGTTTTTGTATGACCTGTACAGGACTGGATAAGGCAACAACAAAGGTGCTATGTCAACAAAAAGTACCACAACGTTAGATTTTTCTGCACTGTCTGCGATTCTCCTACATTAAAATATGTTCATGATAGAATTACACAGCTTCAAGAATGCCAGGTCCAACCAGAAATCATCGAAGCACTAGGATTCTGTTTAAAAAAAAATATTGACATTTTTCCAGTCATAACTGAAATGTATGACATGCTGAGTGACCACGATTCCAAGTGGAAAATTTTACTCAAGAAAATTGATGAGGATATCAGATTCCACACAAGAATCCTTATTTAAGTCCATAAATGAGATAAAGCAAGACACCTTCAATTTATCATCAATTTTAATGGACAACCATGATGGGTCTGTTAAAGTCCAAGTTCATGACCCATCTAAGGAAGAAATGGCGAAGGAAATGGCTGACCTTAGGCAGAGCGTTAAACAAATGTCGCTCACATTGGAAAAGCTTGTTACAAGGGATAAGACCTGTACAGATCATAATATGCAGCGGAAAAAATCCATTTCAACGCAGACGGGCCCTATAGATCACCAAAATAGTACTTTAGATAGTACTTTAGCTTTTATAGATTCGCCAAAAAAAATAGTTTCACCCAAAATAGTGTCATCGCAACCTCCTAAGGCCGCCATAAGAGAAGACTGGAATTATGTGGTGGTGTCCAGAATTCCACCTCCTTACACAGCGAATCAACTTGCGCACTATGTTAAAGAAAAACTAGGAACCACCGACTTCATCAGATGCTTTCCAATGCTGAAAAATAAGGACAGTTCCCATTCCGATTTCAAAATTGGAGTGCAAAAGAGGTGTCACTTGGTGCAGCTTAAGGACATAAATATGTGGCCGCCGGGAACCATAATAGATTCAACCTCAACATCCTTAAGCCAAGCTTCGTTTACTTCTTCGGTTGAACCTGCTCAAAATCTCAAAATAAACATCATTGAGAACCGCAAGCTACCTCACCTACTTGACCCACCACTGGCAACTATGCCAAGGGAGGTAAGAACTATTAAGATTGGGTCTGACAGGGAGGCTATAGCTGCTTGCAAGTCCCTGGCGATGGAAAATCCAGAAATTATTGTGCAGGGAAGTGCGAAGAGAGATGGTTTGGCAGTTATGGACCCGATGACCCCACCTATAGTACGGCTGTCTCAGGACTCAGATGCGGTAAATGGACGTTACGTGTTGGCCAGGTTGAGGGACCCCTCCATTTTGAAATCTCTTAGGCTATTCCTTGCCTATCTTCACGACCAACCATCCAGTGTGTGTTTTGAAGGACACACTAGTACCAGCATCAAATTGATGCTTGCATCAGAAGGGCTACCTAGTGACCTGGAGTCCTTGCGTAAGTTGTACTACCGCTTCCACAACGCCTATGGTATTGGTTCAACTGAAGTTGATGCAGATCTTTCAGCTTTCAGGTCATTCTTTTCTGCGGAGAGCCTTCTACGACTTCAAAAAATTAGGGAAAGTCATGGCAAATATTATTCCAGTGGTTCCCCAAATAAGAGTAAAAATTTTTAGTTGAATTGACGCGAACAGAGGATCAAGCACCCTCTGAAGAATTAAGCGATAGCAAGCTTGGTCTATTCCTTATTAATATTCAGTCCTTAAGACATAAAACAGATGAATTATATCTTTTACTAGAAGAACTTGAATTTCCAGATATCATTGCCATAACTGAGCACTGGTTGAATTTTGATGAGCCTGTGTTTATTAAAAATTATACCACAGTAGCCAGATTTGATAGAACAAATTTTTCTCATGGAGGTACTATGATAATGTCTTTAAACAACGACTTTTCCGAGGTAACTAGGTACAATGATTTGTTATCTGAAAAAGTATTCGAATTTTCCATTGTCCACCATAATGCTTATGACCTTTACATTATTTGTATTTATAGAACACCTGACTCTGACGTGCAATTATTCTGTCATAATCTACTAAGCTTGCTTGAGTCCCTGCCCTTGAAAAAGCAAATTAATTTTGTGTGGTGATCTTAATATTGACTTTCTTAGTGTATGTGCTGCTCAGGAGTTTCTTCAGTCCATTTTTTGATTCTTTTGGAATGGTCATGCATGTAGGCTCACCTACCAGAATATCCAATACCAGTTCTAGTACTATAGACTATGTTGTGTCATCTTTTGATCCTAACTCCATCGCCTGCAAAGTCTTTAGCTCGGGTCTCTCTGATCATGAAGCAGTTTTAACTGAATTTTCGATAAAGTCCAAAATCAAAAATGCCCCTCGTAAATTATGCCGTATTTTTTCAGAAAAGAATGCTCAAAAGTTCGGTCACTTATGTAAAACAACCAACTGGGATACTAGCTCTTATGATGTCGACACCGAATTTTCTATTTTCGTAAAAACATTAACCAGTCTAGCGTTCAAATCCTTTCCTCTTAGGCCTATAAAAAATAAGCATAATAAACCTTGGACCACTAAAGGTCTACGCATATCTTCTAAAAACATGCGTTCATTACCTCACTTAAAAAAATTCTCAGACAGTCTCTTCTTCCACAATTACGTAAAACTATACAGAAAAATTTATCATAAGACTATAAGAGCCGCTAAGGACCTTTATTATAATAGGAGAATAGTCAATTCTGGTAATGTTGCTAAGGAAACATGGTCTATTGTGAATGAGTTGAGAAACAAAGCTTCTTCGTCTAGCAATATCTCTACCTCGCCTGAGAACCTTAACGATTACTTTGTAAATGTAGCGAAAAACTTAACTAATACTATATGTCCTCCTCATGATCCACTTTCTTATCTCTCTAATGATAATGTAAACTTACACAGTTTCTTTTTTTCGCCCGTAGTTCTTGAAGAGCTTCGCAGTACAATTAATACCATCAAAAATAAATCCTCTTCTGGGACCGACGGGCTAACTTTAAAAATGTTTTCGAATCTGCCAGAAAGCACTCTGAATCACCTAACAACTTTAATAAACATGTCGTTCCAAAATGGTATTTTTCCAAAATGTCTTAAGACGGCAATAATCATTCCACTGCACAAAGGAGGAGACAAAGAAGAAGCTTCTAACTATCGCCCAATTGCACTCCTTCCAACGCTATCTAAGATCATAGAAAGGTTGGTTAAAAGCAGGCTGGTATCTTTTCTGTTTAAGTACAAAATACTTACTGAATATCAATTTGGATTTCTAAGCAACAAGTCCACAAATGACGCTATGTTTCCCCCCTTAATAAAGTTTACTCCAGCCTAAACAACCATCATTCTACAGCAACAATTTTCTGTGATTTTTCTAAGGCGTTCGATTGTGTAAATCATGAGATCCTAATTAATAAACTGCAGCACTATGGGTTCAGGGGATCATCTCTCGAATGGTTTAAGTCGTATCTGAGCAACAGAAGTCAACTTGTGAGGGTGGATACCACGTTGTCTTCTAGCAAGCCAATAGAATGTGGAGTACCACAAGGCTCAGTACTAGGCCCTATTTTGTTTCTTCTTTTTATTAACGACATTGCTAACATAAACATCAGTGGCAAAATATGTCTTTTTGCGGACGACACTAGCTTCACTTGGAGCAACAAGGACATCGCGGCACTTCATAGGATTATATCAAATGACTTAATCACCATTAAATCTTGGTGCGATTCGAACCTCCTGAGTCTCAA